GGTGCATCACATGAGAACTGCCCTCCCACAATCCAGGACCCCTCAGGGGATGTTGAAGTCGAAGGGCCAGTTTTGTCCCATTTCTCCAGAGGATAAGCCAAGGGATCCCACTGGTGCATGAATCCATGAATCAGGCCTCTCGTATTGAATATGAGTGTTGAAAGATTATATTCCTGTCTTGTTCCCCATCTTATGGGAAAACACTTGTATTCATTTTCCATTGAGTATGAAGTTAGTTTGGGTTTTATACATATGGCTTTAATTATATTGAGGTATGTTTCATCTATTCCCACTTTTTTGAGAGTTTCTATAATATATGGGTGCTGAATTTTATTAAATGATTTTTTTCATCTGTTGATATGATCATGTGCTTTTTTTACTTGTTTGTTTTTGTTAATCCTCATCAAACAATATTTTTTTTTCATTGATTTTTTTTAGAGAGAGTGGAAGGGAGGGAGGTAGGAGAGAGAGAAACATCACTTCAGAGACACATCAATTGTTTTCCACCCACACATGCCCCAACCAGTGGCAAGAATCAAACATGCAACTTAGGTGTGTGCCTTTGACTGGGAATCGAACCCACACACTTAGGTGTGCAAGTCTGTGCACTGTCCACTGAGCAACACTGGCCAGGCTGAGCATGTGTTTGTTTGTTTTTCTCCTTCATTTTGTTTGTGGTGTACAACATTTATTGATTTGAAGATAATATACTAAACTTGCATTCCCAGAAAAATAATAATGGTTTATCATTTTTTAAAAGTATTTCTGGATTCAATTTGTTAATATTTTGTTGAGGATTTTAGCATCTAATTCATCAGGGATATTGGCCTTTGTAGTGACTTCATGTAGCTTTGGAATTAAAGTAATGTTAGCCTTGTAAAAGCGCTTGGCAGTTTTCCTTCCTCTTTAATTATTTTGGAATAGTTAAGAAATATATTTGTTCTTCGAATATTAGGTAAAATTCACCTATGAAGTCATTGGTCCAGCACTTCTGTTTTTTAGGAATGTTTTGATTACTGCTTTAATTTCGCGAGCTGTACTCTGTTAGTCCAAATTCTCTTATTATCCTGATTCAGTTTTGGAAATTATTTCTAGAAATGTATCTATTTTGTGCAGATTGTTCACACGGTTGGTAAATAGTTGTTCATAATATTTTCTTACAATCCTTCCTATTTCTTTGGTGCCAGTTGTTACTTCTCCTTTTTAATTTCTAATTTTATTTATTTGGATTATTTTATGTTTTATATTGATGTGTCTGGTTAAAGATTTGTCAATCTTGTTTGTCTTTTCAAAGAGCCAGATCTTAGTTTCATTGATCTTTGGGATTGTTTTTATTTTTTTAGACTTTAGTTTACTTATTTCTGTTTTGATCTTTATTATTTTCTTCTAATTGTTTTGGGCTTTGTTTGTTGATATTTTTCAAGTCCCTTTAACTGTGAAGTCGGATTGTTTACTTGAGATTTTTCTTGTTGGTTTTTTGTTTGTTTGTTTTTAATAAAGGCTTGTAATGCTATAAAATTTTCTCTTAGGTCTACTGTTATCACTGTGTCCCATAGATTTTGGTTTGTTGTGTTCTCATTTTCATATGTTTCAGGTATCTTTTTATTTCTTCTTTAATAGCAATGTTAACCTATTTAGAAACATGTCATTTAGTTTCCACGTCTCTGTGTATTTTTCTTGTGATTTATTTATTATCTCATATCATTATGGCTATAGAAGATGCTTGATACAATCTAAATTTTCTTAAATTTATTGAGACTTGTTTTTTGTTCTAATATGTAGTTTATCCTAGAAAATATTTTATGTCCACATGAATAGAATGTATATCTGGTTGCTTTGGGGTGAAATGCTCTGAAGATATCAATTAAATCCATCTGATCCAATGTGTCATTTAAGGTTGCCATTCTAGATTTTCTGGCTGAAAAATCTATCTAGTGATGTCAATGAGGTGTTAGAGTCCCCTACTATGACTCTATTACTATCAATCTTTTCCTTTATATCCATAAAGATTTGCATTAAATATTTATTTGCTCCTATATTTGGTTCATAAATGTTTATGGGGTTATATTGTCTTGTTGGATTGCTTCCTTTATCATTATATAGTGTCCTTACAATAACCTTTATTTTAAAGTCTATTGTGTCAGATATAAGTATTACTACCTCAGCTTTCCTTTTCCTTTCCATTTGCATTAATTATCTGTTTACATTCTTAAATTTTCATCTCTGTGTATCTTTTGTTCTAAGGTGGGTTTCTTGTGAAAGTATATATATGTCAAGTTTTCCTATTCATTCAACTATTTTATATCTTTTGAACAGAGCATTTGATATTTAAAGTGACTATTGGTAGGTACATATTTATTGCTATTTTATTCATTTAACTATATGCCTCTGTTGTTAGTTTTTTATTTGTTTGTTTGTTTTTTCCTTTCTCATCTTCTTCTCAAATAGGGCCCTTTACAATTTCTTGTAATACTGATTTATTGGAACCAAAGTCCTTTAGATTTTTCTAATATGGGAAGCTCTTTATTTATGTTCAATTTTAAATGATAGTCTTTTTTTAAATATATTTTATTGATTTTTGTACAGAGAGGAAGGGAGAGAGATAGAGTTAGAAACATCAATGAGAGAGAATCATAGATCAGCTGCCTCTTGCACAACCCCTACTGGGGATGTGCCCGCAACCAAGGTACATGCCCTTGACCGGAATCAAACCTGGGACCTTTCAATCCCCAAGCCGATGCTCTGTTGATTGAGCCAAACCGGTTTTGGCTTAAATGATAGTCCTAATGATTAAAGTAGTCTTGGTTGTAAGTTCTTGCTTTTCATCATTTTGAATATTTATGTAAATCTCTTCTGGCTAGAATCATCTGTTGAAAAATCAGCTCACAGTCTTATAGGAGCTGCTTAGTAGACTACTGTCTCTTGTTGCTTTTAAGATTTATCTTTACCTTCCACCTTTGTGATTTTAATTATGATATGTCTTGGTATGGTCTTTTTTGCATTCATCTTGTTTAGGACTCTATGAACATCCTAACTTGTGTGTGTTTTTTCTTCACCAGGTTAGGGATATGTTTGTTCATTATTTCTTTAAATAGAGTCTTGATCCCTTACTCTCTCTCTTATACTTCTGGTTACCTTATGATTCAGATGTTGTTATGCTTCATTTTGTTCTAAAGCTCCATCAAACTATTCTCATTTTTAAAAATTATTATTTTTCTTTTTGTTGCTATGATTGTATTATATCATTTTCAGAGAGTCTGGAAAGTATAAAACTTAGCCAAAAAAAAAAAAAGTTGAAATGAACAAGTGTTTCCATTTTAAAAATGTATCTTTATTGTTGAAAGTATTACAGATTTCCCTTTCTCCCCACTTAACCCCCTAACCCACACCGCCACCAGGCCTTCACCACACTATTGTCTCTGTCCATGAGTTATACATACATGCATATAAGTTCTTTGGTTAACCTTTCCCCTCAACCTTCCACCCCACCTTCCCTCTGAGATTTGAATGAGCAATTGAGGTAGATGCTTTTCTGTGTTTTTTTCTGTGTCAGTGACTCTGGTCTATCCTTGAGGTAAAGCTAAACTTCCAAATTTAGGTTCTTTATTAAAGTTATGCATATTTAAATCAAATAGCATTTTTTTCCTCAAATTATCGTGATTGGTTTTCTTATTTGAAAACTGATAGCCATGAGAGGTAGAAGATCATCTCCTCAGTATTAGGAAATAGCTCCTTCCTGTATAGTACTTTCTGATATTTATTTAACAGAAGACAAAACAGTTTATATCTACTATAATGATGAGCTCAAATAAAACGAATAATAAAAGACAATACAATACAATGTATGTGTTCCAGTGAAAGAGCAAATTGAAGAAAAGGTAGCATCACTGTAGATAATTTACTGAGTAACATTGACAGGTCTGAGGATGGGTCAGTATAGCATCATGAACACAGTTATGTGTAAACCTCTCTGGACTGCAATAGCATCTTTGGATGGACACACACACACACACACACACACACACACTTTTTCTATAGTCCTAAGAACCTGGAGACTTTACATAGGAGACTTTTATCCGCTGAGGGATTTCCATTTCTCTGGGATGGCTCCTGTGTTTCAATCCATACAAAAATGAAGACTATTTTATATAACATTTTCTTTATTCATTAATTTACCCATGGACATTTGGATTATTTCTCCATGTCATTTCATGGTTTGGTAGCTTATTCCTTTGTAGCACTGAATAGCATTTTGTTGCCTGAATGTACAACAGTTTATTCAATCGCCTGCTGATGGACATCTTGGTTGCTTTCAAGTTTTGATAGTTTTGAATAAAGCTGCTGTATATATCAGTAGGCAGGTTTTTTGTTTGTTTTTAATCCTCACCCAAGAATATGTTTTATTGATTTTAAAGTGAGGGGAGGGAAAGAGTGAGAGAGAAAGAGAGAGAGAGAGAGAGAGGAAGTGAGAGAAAAACAGTGATTGGTTGCCTCCTGTACATGCCCTGACAGTGGACTGAACCTGCAACCAAGACATGTGCCCTGACTGGGAATCTAATCTGAAGCCTGTGTGTGTGTGTGTGTGTGTGTATGTGTATGAGATGGTGTTCCAACCAACTGAGCCACCCAGCCAGGGCCAGTGAACATGTTTTTGTGGACATGAATTTTCAAATGATTTGTGCAAAAGCCAAGGACTATGAATGATGTATATTTGTATTCCTCTAGCAAAAATGGACAGATCCAAGCAGCCAGAAAATCAGTAAGAACATAGTTGAATTCAACAACACTATCAGGTAATTGAATATAATTGACTTCTATGGGTTACTTCATTCAATAAAAGAAAAAATTACACATTTTTCTCAGGCTCCCCTGAAACATTCACTAAGTAGACCCCATTGTGGTTTATAAAAGAAACTTTAATTAATTAAAAAATAGAAATTATACAGTAGAATTAAACTAGAAATCAATAACAGAAAAGTAAATTAGAAATCCAAAATACTACTGCCTCTAGAGGCCTTGCAAGTGTAGCTGCCATGTCCTGTCATTAGGTGGCAGAGAGGGGAGAGGCTCCCTATGCCTGGCATCCTGGCTGGGCATGTCTGGATGGCAGATCTCCTGACACTGGGCGCCTGTGCTGGGCTGCTGGCAGGTGCTGGTGACCTGGATCCCCTCAGGTAAAAGCTCCTTAATTCTCTCCTAGAAAAGAGAGAGAGAGAGAGAGAGAGAGAGAGAGAGAGAGAGAGAGAGAGAGAGAGAGAGAGAGAAGAAGAAGAAGAAGAAGAAGAAGAAGAAGAAGAAGAAGAAGAAGAAGAAGAAGAAGAAGAAGAAGAAGAAGAAGAAGAAGAAGAAGAAGGAGAAGAAGAAGGAGAAGAAAGAGGAGGAGGAGGAGGAGGAGGAGGAGGAGGAGGAGGAGGAGGAGGAGGAGGAGGAAGAGGAATCTCAAATACTTACAATGGAAAACACACTTTTAAATAATCTGGAGGTCAAATAAGAAATTTTTAAACAGTTTAAAAAATGTTTAACAAAATGCAAGTGAAAATAAATACAACTTATCAAAAAGTGTAGGATTCAATGAAAGCAGTGCTTAGAGAAAAATCTATAGCATTGAATGCATATATTAGAAATAAAAAAGGACATAAAGTTAATAGTATAAGGTTTCACCTTTAGAAACTAGGGGCAAAGGGCAAATTAAATCCCAAGTAAATAGAAGAAAAGAGTAATAAAAATTAGAACATAAATTAGTGATATTGAATTTCATCAGAAATCAATAGAGAAAAATCAAAACCAAAAGCTGATTTTTTGAAATTATGACTAAAATTGTTAAGGCTCTGGCCTGGCTAAATAAAAAAAAAATAGTAATAAAGAGATATTATTAATAATATCAGAAATCAACGGAGGCATTATTTAAACTCTCATTGACTTAAAAATATAATAAAATAATAGTATGCACTACTTTATGCCCACAAATTTGATTATTGAAATAAATGGACCAATACTTTGAAAGATACAATTTGCCAAAATTCACACAAAAAGAAATAATCTGAATAGGCCTATACTTATTCAATAAATTGAATCAATAATGAACAACCTTTCAATATAAGGAACTGGGCATAGCTGGGTCCACTGGTGAATTATATTAATATTTTAAGCAAGATATATACCAATTTTATTCCAGAAGATAGAAGAAAACACTTCCCAACTATTTCTATTAATCCAGTGTTACCCTATTATCAAAATTGACATATATATTTTTTAAAACCTATAAACAAATATACATTATGGTCACAAATGCCAAAATGCTCAATAAATTATTAGCAAATTTAATCTAACATTGTATTAAAATTATGCACCATTGGATTTATCTCACTCATGCAAGGCTAGTTTAACATTTAAAAATCAATTAGTTTAACACACTATATCCACAGGCTATAGAAGCAAAATCATATGATAAGATCAATAATATTGAATTGTAAATAAATATCCACAAGTCAATATTGAGATGAATAAATCTTCAATGCTAAACATTGCAAATAATTTATGTTGATACTTCACCCTTGAGAAGGTGAAGTATAACACCCCACTTTTTAAGTGTGGGCTGACCTAGCAACATGCCTCTGAGCTAAAGATGGGGGGAGGAAGGTGCAGAAATCCTATAAATACTACCACAAGCCAAGTGATCAGATTTAATGTTAACATTGAGAAGTCAGACTGATAGTATGTACTTTGGAAATAATTTGATTAAAATGGCTCTTCATTTTTGTGCTCTTCCTTCTATAAAAATATAAACCCAATTTAATCCTGAGGAGGGGGGGGCAACTTAAAATCCAAATTGAGAGATATTTAAAAATATGACAGACTAGTACTCCTCAAAACTGTCAATATCACCAAAAACTAGGAAAGTCTGAGAAATGGTCACAGTGTAAAGATTCTAAGGAGTTAACAACTAAATCAAATGAGGCATTATAGATGATATCTTGATTCTCTAAAAGGACATGAAACAAAACCTAAGAAACTATAAAGTATGGACATTAGTCAATAACAAGACATCATTGGTTTATTAATAGTGACAAATTATCCATACTGTAGATGTTAATAAAAGAAAAAATTGGGAATGCAATATATGGAAATTCAGTGATATGCTCACAATTTTAGGTAAATTTAAATTTATTTTTAAAAATTTTAAAGTTTCTTTAAAAAGATTCTTTCCTTACTGTACACATACTTGTTTTAGCTTCCCATCCATCATAAATATTTTTTTCAGTAGCCAGCATAAGAACTAAGCACTCAGCACCACCATTAAAAATTAACATTTCACAAAGTAAGGATTCTATTTTAAGGCTTTTCAGTTAGTAGTGCACAAGTTTACCTCTTTGCCACATCTTTCTCATCGCAATTTTCACACCTCAAAAACGTTTGTTTTACTACTGATTTTGTTTTTTAAACCTTAATTGTTGAGATGCTTACTAGTTTAATTAACTAAGCTACATTAGTCAGAATATTCTATTTTTCATCTTCTCTATAATAGGAAAAGGCTGATGTCTCCTGAGTTTTATAAACCAAAAAACACATTCTACTTGGTTCTCTAATGGGAAATGTGATGACTTCAATAATCTATTTAAATTACTAACAACTAAGCACATTTCTAGAGAGGCTCTATAAAGGAAAGTAAGTTTTCAGGCTTTACACTACAAATGTGAATGACAGAATGCAAATGACAATCATTATACAGGTGTTTTAAGAAAAAATATGCAAACAAACAAACAAAAAAATCCAAATTGGGTAGTTACATTTTTTCCTAAAAGAGTATTTTTAATTGTTATATTTTAAATTAAATTCATTTATTTATGTTTATGGGACATTTAAAAAGATTTGTGTACTGTTGGAAATAATATTTAACTATTGAAAAGTAACTTAGAAGAAAGGTGCATGCGTGTGTGTGTGCGTGTGTGTGTGTGTTTATTTTAAAATAAAAGAGTTAGTTGAAGGTTATGTTTAATTAATTTAATTAAAAACTACCATAGAGTCTTAGTGAGGTATTATTTCTGCTTATCAAACAGACAAAACAAACTTTGCACATAATAATTTTTACTCACTCTTAACATAATAGTCCAAAATTATTTTAAAGTAAATATTATCATCTTATCAAAATAAACAATTTTAACTCCTCTGATCACATAAAAACTAATGTTGAAAAAATTATGTTCCAAACATTATGTTAAAGGCTTATCAACAAAAGATCTACACATATAAAAGCCTAATGAACTATTAATATCTGATTGTTCGACCATTTGCCTGGTAGCTGTGATGTGCAATGACCACTAGGGGGCAGATGCTCTGACCAGTAGAAGAGGGAGCTTGATTCCTCATGGATTAGGTAGCTGCTGAGGCACTGTAGTCCTGAATCTGCTTCACCTACATCCCAGACTCAGAGAGGAGGGAGCTTGATTCTGGGGTGCATTACCCAAAAACCGCCCTCTGGCAATCTGGGACCCCTGAGGGGATGTCAGAGAGCCAGTTTTGTCTCCATCTCCGCAGGCTTTGTTACAGGACCCCACCCATACATGAATCCATGCATTGGGCATCTAGTAGTTTATAAAGAGAAAGTAGTTGTGTGTTGTTGTTTTTTTTAACATATTAGAAGCGTTTGAAACTACATCATGTAAAAAGAAATCGCCTGGCTCTTCAACAAATATTTTTTGTCAACATAGCTAGGGGGATGCTGTTGGAACTTTTATGTTCCAGAAGGCATAGATTAACAATTATATTCAGATCAAATTCTTTAAAAGTTTAGCATAAATTCTTTTGAAGTTTCAAAAAATAGTTTTACTTAACAAATAACTTTTCATTCCCATTCATTTCATGAAATATTTATATTGTATGAATTTCTTTAAAAATATAAAAGTATCCATATGTTGGATTGTTTATTACATTGCTAAGGAATTAATAGTTTTTTTATTGAAGCAGCATTGGTTAAACAATTCTGACGTTAGGACCTCCTATCTACTAGCTGCTTAACTTGGGGGATGTTAACTGAAAACTGGAGGAGTAAGTATCCTTAAATATTAAACAGAGATCATAAAAATAGTTATAAGTATAATATAGAGAGAATGTATATAAAGGACTAAATATTTTACATTCAGTAATGATAGTAAACTTTTTATAATGTCCTAACTCCTATGTTTACATATTATCGGCACAGCCCCACAAACATATGAACTTTATGTATGCATTCATTTTTCTTGTTTTAACAAACATGTTTCTTATATTTATGTGATAAGTATGATAATATGAAAAATGTGTAGGATTCTATATAATTAAAAATAATCAAAACTCCTTGTTATGGCAATACATAGGATTTGATATTTTAGGGAGTGTATTAGGAGGGTAATACAGAGAAATGGAGCCTATACATTTCTCTCTCTCTCTCTCTCTCTCTCTCTCTCTCTCTCTCTCTCTCTCTCTCTCTCTCTCAATGTATTATAAGGCCTGGCTGAGATAATGGAGGCTGAGAAGACCCGCTATCTGCCAAGTGCAAACTGGATGCCCAGGAAAGCTCCTGGAGCACTTTGAAGGCCTGACAACACAGAGAGCTGTTGGTATAGATTTGAGTCCAATGTGAAGGCCTGAGAACCAGGAGTGCAGAGGTAAAAAATACAAAAAACATTTATGTTCCAGTTCACGCAGTCAGGCTGATAGTGAATTCAGCCTTTTTCCACTTTTGTGTCCTATTCAGGTCTGACATGGACTAAAAAACGCCTTCCTAAATTGTGGAGGGCCATCTGCTTTACTCAGTTCAATAATTCAAATACCAATCTCTTCTAGAAACACTCTCACAGACACAATCATTAATAATGTTTAACCAGATATCTGAGCATCCAGTGGCCCAGTCATGTTAACACATAACATTAACCATTACAGGGAATAAATGGTAGCTAGGATTTCAAATGCTTTAGGAGCTGCCAGTTTTCCTCCTCTTTAAATTATACTCATAGCACTGGGGCAATATCTATAGCTCTATAGCTCATTGCCAAGTCCAAGAGTGTTTCATTTGTTATTGCCCTTTGAATTTAAATGGCAGATCAGCCCTTTAATTAATAGATACAGATCAACAAAGTAGTATTGA